TTTCCCTCCATCATTAGCCCCTACATGCACTACAAAAACTGCTTCTCTGCTAGCCCTCTTTATTATATCTCTTGCTCTGTCATATTACACTGCATACCTAAATCACTTTTTTTGCAAATTAACATTGCTTTTATATCTTTTTTGTTCTTGTGTTTTTCAATAGTATAAGATTGGTAATTTTAATAAAATGTATGTCAGTGTGCAGGGTGTTGCAAAGGTTGGTGAACACTGTCCAGAACAGATGATGCTTGCGATAGCTTCGTATGCCGATTGAGAATCATGTGAAGCATATTTGAACACTTTGTGTGACTTTTTGAAACTCTTTGTACCATGTCTAAACTTTCCTGTATAAACTTTGTGATTCTCTGTGTTCCTCTGGTGAAATTTAATTCCCATAGGCAAGTAATTAGTAAGATGTAGTAATTTAAAAATGTGATTTTATAATAACTCTGTAATCCTGTATGGTGGTTTCCCACATTATTGACCGAGTTGTCACTTAGAAATGATTCACAGAGCTTAAAGTGCTCCATAGTGTTCAGTAAGAAAGACTGGTTTTTATAGAGGATATATGGATATTGGAGGGATGGAAGCTAGCCAATCACAAGAGGCTGGTATAAACTTGCTACGAGTGTTTTAGTGTTAGCATCATAATGTGAAACTGCTTTTAAACCAATGGTATAGTTGTTCAGACACTTCAATAAGACAGACATCCATGAGAATACTTTAAGAAAGAGATCCCGCTTATCTAAATGAATTTATTTGAAAACTAAATAACTTTAAGGGAATAAAATTAGATTTATTTAAACTAATAAATAACATTTCAGCACCACGTGCAGCCATTATTGGGTACAGGATTATGTAATGTAAAATCCTCGACATCAGGTACTGAATAAAACATTGAAAATGTCATTAATTCTATTTAATATTAAGTAAATATAAGTTGAATCCTCTTTTTTTTATTAATGTTATGTTTTTAATTGATGGTGCTACTTCAATTTTATTTTATTGACATAGTTTTTTATGTAGAATTCAGAAATATGTTTCATTGAATTATTTGTGTCCTGTTTAAGAACGATGTTATTAATATCTGAGGGAGCTTTCTTTTTGTTTTTAGGTATATTGAACTATTGTTGTATTGGTTCTCAGTAACTGTTTTATTTATTTATGTGAAGCTTGAGAAGAATTAACTTCTACCTACCTAAATATTGTGTTTTTGAATATTTTATTTCCACAACTTTATATGTTGTGTTACATACCCGTTTTATCCACTTAATTTTGTGTTTTTTAAAGTTTTCATTAATTTTTTTTTGTTTAGATTCGAAGTATTTTGGAAAATTGCATCACTTTTCATCTTTAAGGTTTTGTGAATTGTGTGTTGTAAATGCTATGTAGTGTAAACCTTGTATAGAACCTATTTTTTGATTGATGGAGTGTGCAGAACTCTGTTTACTTTAACAAAA